AAGAGTCTCAGGTGATTCACTTGTATTCTAGTTCCTACTGTCCCAGGTTGTGAATGATGTTTTCTAAGCCTGATGCAAGGTCCCACAAGTATGGAGACAGCACCCTGTCACTTGCCAGTTGTGATCACAGGTCAGGCTGTGAACTAGGTAATGTTGGGATTAGTCCCTTTCTGCTATGTAGACTCTGCCGATCTCAGTGTCACTGGATATTCAGGCAGCTTCCCTCTGGTGGGGCCCTGCAATGCCATAGGCTGTCTTTAGGCTTCCCAGTGTGCCTCCCCACAGTGTCAGTGGTTGGTGCTTGGTGAATTGGCTTTCCTCTGTTTAGGACCAAAGCTACTTCGTAGCTGACTCTGTCTGAGTTGATGGAGTAGGTACTGGGCAGAGCTTTCCACCCTTGTCTGGGTCACAGGGGCTGCACAGGGTTAGGTGCACTTCCCTGGCACAGGGCTTCAGGAGCTCAATCCGGTCTGCTTGTTTACAGGGAGCGGGAGGAACAGAGGGCTTCAGAGATTTATCTCCAGTAGTGATCCTTCTAGAAGTTCTTTCTAGCTGGATCTTCTAAAGTTTTTTCTGAATTGCCTGAGTTCAGAATCCAGGGGACTTCCTCCTGGTTTAATTTGCAGCTGTCTGGGCATGGGAAGATGCTGTGTGTATTTAAGGGAGTGACTCCACCAGGGCAGAGGACTCCACAAGATGGCTGTAGACCTCGGCTTGTTTGCTTTTCACAATTTGGTTTTATGCTATTAATGCTATTTTAAGGATCCTTCTGTTATGGTGTCTCTTTAAATTTTATCTGTCTTTCAAAATGCTTTTAAGTGGCTGAGCTGAGGAATTTTTCTGCTCCCCCCCTTTCTCTCTGTTGACCACCCCTCAGCTTCAAGTTTGGGGTTAGGGCATTCTGTATTCTACTCTGGTGACCTATCTTCCAGTCCCTCCAGGTTTCAGACTTTGTAAAACTGCATCTTAGAGCATTTATTTTGTCATACCTTTCAATTCTGCTTTTCCTTGGCTGCCTCCTTTCTCTGTTGTTGAGGATGTGTGGCCTCACTCTCTTCTGCCATCTTCCAGTCTCTGTCATCTTTAACTTTTATCATTTATGGTGAGGACATTCAAAATCCTCTTTCTAGTTGTTGGGTTATATAATGCATTACTCTTAGCCACGTGCATCCTAATGTGCCACAGAACACCAGACCTCAGGCTTCTGTGTGGCACTAATGTGGGCCCATTGACCAACCTCTCCCTATTTCCTCCCCTACTCCACTCAGTTTCTGGTAACCACCAAGATACTCTGAAGTTCTATGATAACGACTTTTTTTTTTAAGATTGCACATGAGTAAGCTGTGTTTCCTCTGCGAACAATAAATCTCCCCTCCACCTCCACAAATTTCTATTGACCTTTTATGCCTGGCTTGTTTTATTTAAAATCATGTCCTCCAGGTTCATTCGTGTTACCACCATTAAAAGGATTTCATCCTTCTTTATGGATGAATAGTATTTCATTGTGTATATGTACCACATTTTCTTTCATCCACTCATCCAATGAGAGACACCTTGGTGAATTCCATTTCTTAGCTATTGTGAACAATGCTACAATAAACACAGAAGTACAGGTATCTCTCTGATATCATGATTTTATTTCCTGGGGATATATACCCAGTAGTGAGATTGTTGGATCACATGGTAGTTCTATTTTAACTTTTTGAGGAAACTTTAAGGACTTTATTAATTTACATCCTACCAAGTGTGTTAAAGTTTCCCTTCTTTCAATCCTTATCAGAGAAATCCTTTGTCTTTTTGATAATAAGTATTCTAAGTGAGGAGAGGTGATGTCTCCTTATGTTTTGATTTGCATTTCCCTGATGGTTATTGATGCTAAGCATTTTCTTCTAAGCACTTGTTAGGTTCTTTCTCTAATCACAGATATTAGAGAATGTTAGAGCTCATGAAGTGCTTTTTCCTGACCTCTAGTGGCCATGGCCATGATGGTGCTCCTGGGTGTGTGTAAACAGAGTATGGGTTGAAAGCCTATATGTAGGCACTGTGCCAGAGATTAACATGGGAATTGCCTGAGTTCAGAATCCAGTTCTGTCATATTAACTGGCAAGTGTGGACAAGTTACTGACATGAGGCTAACAGTAATACCTGCATGGTGAGAGTTAAATTCACAAAAAGTACTAGGATGGTGTGAGACATGAGGCTATCTATCTATTATAAGCAGAAGCTTCAAGTCTGTGTGTGAGTGAAGGGGTTGGATAGAGCAAGCGAGCGAGAGAGATATGAATGAAGTTTGGCAAGTAAGAATAAATTGGACGGTAAAATTTGAAAACTGCTGGGTAAGGATAATCAATAACATTATTTCATAAATAGCAATCCTTAATTTGAATTTAAGATTTCCCCCTAAATTTCTGTGGGTTGGAAACCTCCATCAACTAGAAAATTGAAATACAGTTGTATTTATATTTTTAAATACTTGGCTGGAAGAAAAACAAGCTGGATGGAACCCCTACATGATTAGTTTGAGGACTGACAAAGAAGATAATAGAGGAAAGATGTATTTCAGGGCAACTTGGAGGCTGCTGAGGTGAAGGAATTGTTTTGTTGTTGATGACTCCTGACAACCCAAAGGGTGGGTGTGCCCTTTTTGCAGAAGAGTAAGTCAAGGCTCATGGAGGGTGGGTGTTTTGTGCCTGGCTTCTAGGCATGCAGTGAGGGAGTCAGGATTTGAGCACAAATCAGTGTGACATCAAAGCCTGCCTTTTTTTCACTTTACTATCCTGGGGTGTGGGATGCTAGGAAGGGGATCTGTGCAGTAAGAAGTAAAGAAAGGAATTTTAAAAAATGAAGGTCTCACAGTGGAACTGACTCCTCAGGTGGAAACTCTTGAAATGTCAATTAATCAAACCATCAGGGCCCAATGTGCCCAGACTTGTCTCTGGGACTCCTTTGGCACGAGTGTGGTAGGTCATGGCATCCTGCATGGCCAAACTCACATCCCTGGGAGGGGCGATGGCGGATTAGAAAATAAAAGACTCACACAGATTTTGAAGATATAGCTGGGATCAGGTGGAGTGCTACTCTCTGATGGAGAAGCAGATCTAAAGAGTTACACCAGCAATCTTTATTTATATATGTTTTATTATCAAGTTAAAGACTATGCAAGCATTATTCTTTGTGCTCAGAAAAGTTATAGAACTAAAACATCTATGCAGCTTTTCCACAGTTGCAATGTGCAATGTTAGGAACTTTGGTAGCACTCAAGGAGGTCTATTGATTAAAGTTACTGTTAAGCAAGAAGTCTCAGGAGTAGCAGAGCTGGAGAAACATTATGATTGTCTAGCATGAGAGTTCCTCTATACCTGAGAGTTATGTGCCTTAGATCAAGGTTGAAGCTCATAAGACTCCTTCATGGAGCATCCTCAGGCAGGGCTTTACCATAGCAGCTAGGCATCCTATGCCCATGAACACAAACTTTCCCAGGCACCAGACCCTCCACAGCCACGAGGTCATGGGAGATCCCCGATCTCAGTCACTGTGCTCCCATTCTCATTAACCACTCTCCACAATAGGTTGCTAACCACTACCAGATGGGCTTATTAGCTCTCAGAAACTGCAACTCACTTAGGCAACTACGAAGAGGAGATTTTGGAGACCTGATACCAATCCAATATGAGTAGGTAGTTCTATTATCCATGTTTGGAATGAAAATCATATTTTCTGAGTTAGATATTAGAATGCATGTTCTGATAAGCATGTTTGTACTCATCAGGGTAGTAAAGAAAAACATTTAGAACTGGAGCATGCATCATGGTAGCTTTTGGTCAAGAAGTACCTGAATTGACCAAATCTAGGGTCTTAAGCAAGATGCATTCTTTTCCTCACAATTTCTAGAAATCAGGTTTGTAGGTACAGCTTAGCTGGGCCCTCTTCAAGAATGCATTCAAGGTGTGCACCAGGATTGGGTTCTCATATAAACTTGACTAGAGAAGGATCTGCTTCCAAGCTCACATGATTGTGATTCCATCTGGTTCCCTAAAGTCTTACAGACTAAGGAAGCATTCAGAGTTCACACTGGCAACCAGTTGGAAGCCACCCTTAGTTTCTTGTCAACTGTATCTTCCCATATGATAGCTCAGAACATGGCAGCTTGCTTCTTCAAAGTCAATGAAAAAGAGAGCATATCCTAACAAGATGGGTGCTACAGTCTTAAGTCATGTAATCAAATACACATAATCAAGTACATCCTGTAACCCCTACCATGTTCTATCAGACAGAAAAAGGCTGGGTGTGGTGGTGCATGTTTATAATCCTAGCAGCTCAGGAGGCTGAGGCAGGGGGATCTCAAGTTCAAAGCCAGCCTCAGCAAGTTAGTGAAGCCCTAAGCAACTTAGTGAGAACCTGTCTCAAAATAAAAAATAAAAAAGAGCTGGGGAGATGTGGCTCAGTGGTCAGGCATCCCTGAATTCAATTCCTGGTACAGTATATAAATAAATAAAAATAAAAAATAAAAAAAGGAAGGAAGGAAGGAAGGAAGAAAAAGGTGGGAGGCCACACTCAAGGGGAGGGGATTAGGTAAAGGGTGAGCACCAAGAAGAAGAATCATAGAAGCCACCTCAGCATCTGTCTGCCTGTTGCCCTGTGTCTGGCTTGAGACAGAGAAGGGTCATGGGAAGCTAAGTCTAGTGAGAGGGCATGGTGTCTCTCAGGACTTGGCCACTTTCCTTGGTGATAAGGGAGCAGAGGCAGCCTCTTTTGTCCTTTCAGGAGGACTTTGTGAAGGAAGTAGGAGTTCAGTTCCAGGACTGTTTGACAACAGAGGGGGAGCAGTTTGATAGTCTCCTAAGGATGGACAATTTGAATAAGAAGTCTGGGGTAGGAAGACCAAACTTAGAGTCATTAAAAAATGGTCCCCGAATGGGGCCTTCTTGTGAGTCATCAAGCCATGCAATTCATTGACCGCAGGGCCCAGTCTATGCAGGAGATAGTTCCTTCTCTTGCAGGTGTGGCAGTGTGGAGGGAAGATTGAGATCTTACCCTGCTCCCGGGTGGCTCATCTAGAGAGATACCCCAAGCCCTACGCGTGGGATCTAAGCATTTTCTTGAAGCGCAATGCTCTGTGAGTGGCTGAAATCTGGATGGATGAATACAAACACATGGTCTACCTGGCCTGGAACATACCTCTCCAGGTTTGTCATGGACTGAACAGCATCAGGGGGAAAGCTAGCAGCAGGAAGTGGTGGTGGCAGTGAAGAATGAGAAGGGACAGAAAAAATATGCTGTTGTGACATAAAGAATTAGAGTAAGTTCCCAAGGTATAAAAATAGTGACACTTAACGTTTGTGTGACAATATCATGTTCTAGATAGTGTTTTATATACTGACCCATTAACCATCAGAACCACCTATGGGATATGTTTCACAGATGAGGAAGCCAAGGCACAGAGAATTAGAAGAAACTTGTTTAACACAGGAACATACAGTAATTAGACCACATAAGACTCAAAGCAAGAAAATCTGGCTTTTAGATTCTGTGTTCTACATCCGTCTTCTATACTGGGGCAGTCCTTGCAGAGTAAAATTGGATATCATATATTGGTTAAGAGGACATAAACATAGCAAGTGATACATGGGGTGGTGAGAGGAGGTCCTTTTATCTTGTTAGATGCACATACATGAGGACAACCTTGGCTGAGCCTGCATCTTTTGCCCTGGCCACCTGAGGTTGGTGTGATATGCTGTCTTCTGTCCCTAAGCGCTGGCTTTGAGTTTAAGCATGGTTAGCTGTGTTTGGCACAGAGAGATGAGGAAGACTCTTTTTCCATCAGAGTGGATCCTAAAGTAACCTCCAGAAATCAGAGGGTCAGGATGGTTGGGAGACTGTGGAACAGATCTAGGAGGAAAAGTCTGAAGACAAGGTGGAGTCGGGGGTCAGGTTAAACTATGGGAGCACTATTTCTGGAGAACGTAAAAATGGGCAGAGAAGCTCGAGCCTTCTTTAGGATTCAAAGTCATGAAAATCATTCCTTTAACAACTCAAGGTGCCAATAATCTACAGTTAGCTCATTGTTCATACAAATTTCTTCTGGTGCCCCTGTATGCCAAGGTATGATGGGAAAATAGGTACCCTCCAGGATATCCTTAGCTCTTTTATCTCTATTGTGACTGTACCAAGCTATAAAGAAAACTGTCCCTAAACAAATCAACTTCTGCAAAGGTGATTCGAAATGAACCACATAGGAATATTCTGGAAAGAAGGCAGATACCTCATATGTGTTCTGCATTTCTGCCTTTCTTTTTCCTAATTAGTATTCATTTTTAGAAAGTCTCCAAATCTTGGTGTCAGAACTTTTAAAAAGCCTTTTCTGCCATGGTGAGGAATATTTGATGTGAATATCATCTCAAACAGGAGCAGTCTGCTTCGGCTTGCCATAATGAGAAATGTACTGTGGTGTCCCTGCCTGCTCCATGCTGAGTTTGCAAATGTCTTTGAAAACCAGTAGAGGTCCCCAAGGTTGCTTTTCTACATTCCCTGGAAAATAAAATATCAAGGTTACCTCTAGGCTGCCAGGAAAATCCTCAATCCATTCATGCAAGGTCATACTTATTAGTGGAGTCAGGAAGGTCTCATAAACCAAAGCATAGAAATCTTGGTGTTTTATCTCAGAACTCTGGAATTGATTATGGAGACATTTCTTCCAGAATTGCACTCCGGAAGAAATTGAAATGTAAAACTTTTGACTGGTACCTGAAAAATGTTTATCTACTCCTGAAGCCGACCCTCAACATTGTGGGCTATGGAAGAGTACGTGCTGTGAAATGGATTTAGACTTGGAATGCTTGTTTGTGGAAGACAGTGAAACCCAAACCATATGGTTACCCGGCCAAGGGTTTTCCTGCCTAGTGTCCCCTTCCTGCCCCATGCTTTCCTCAGCGCTCTGCTCTTGAGAGACTTCCTTTCCTCTTGTTTCCCAATCCCTGTTTCTTTTCCTTTTGTCTGCCTCTAGTCCTTTTGCAAACTGCAGCCCTTGCCTGACACTGTTGGATGCTTAGCCAACTCATGTCTGTAGCAGGATGGGTTCTTCAGTGTCTAATGTAAGGGTCTGCAGGGGGCAATGTTCCCAAAACGTGGGCAGCACAGCTGCACCTCACCTAAGCTCTGGTTTGTTTCCCAGTGCTCAGCACGTGGCTGCCAGGATCCCAGTTTCTGCTCCTTTTGCCTGTTGGCTTCTTGGTGTTTTAAGGAAAATGCAGGTCCTGGGGAGGCTTTGGGATTGTCTTTCCAAAACTGCATTCATGTTTTTTTCCCTTCAGATGAAAAACTCATTGGATAAGAGTATCTGCCTGGATCAAGGACCTGTGCCAGGCAATACCCCCATCATGCATCCCTGCCATGAATTCAGTCCACAGGTAACTTCCATCGTCTTGCCTGTCTGACAGGGTGAGTCTGTTTTGGCTCAGCTCCTGGTAACCTCTGTCAGATTTCAACTTGGTGTTAGACGATGGGGATGCAAGAGCAGAGTATTCTGGGTGCCAGGTAAGGGTGAAACTCAAACCTACACTTTTAAGTATTTTTTGTTGTTGTTGTTGTTGGGGATGGAACCCAAGGCCTCCCGAATGCTAGGCAATCATTGTACCACTGAAGTATATCTCTAGTCTTTAAGTAAGCACTTTCTGGTTCATTCTAAAGGTCACAGCAAGACAGCTCAGTTTCAGGGACATGTAGAAGGCTTTGCTCTGTTGTGGTCATTCTCCAGGGGAGATTTTCATTGGCAATTGCCTCTAATCCCTTTTTTTCCCTCTCTTCCCACTGTCCCACCATCTTCCCTTCTCCTGTGCATCCCAGAAATTTGACAGGTGAAGCCACCTGTTCTTCTCTTGCAAAGAAGGAAGCAGAGGGCTAAAGAAAAGAGAGGTGGAATGGAAGTTCCTCTGTGGCATAGAAGAGGGCTGGCACTAAGTTCAGGGTGCAGCCAGGGGACTTTTTAATAAATGGAAAATATTCAAATCTGTCATCTTACTTTGCATGTTGCCATTACAGGAAGGTTTTGAGGTATTCCTGGTAGATATCATTCCCTCTTAGGAGATGAAAAACCTGAGGCATGAAAACAACCTATTTGTCCAAGCTCACCGAGCAAGGCACTATCAGATGGGAAATTTGAAAGGCTTCTTGACAACAGGCTCATACTGGGATTTACAGTGACAGCTTCTCAAGTTCAGCTTGAGAAGCTTTGGGAGAAGCTTTCTTCAAAGATCAGCTCCCTCATCCACACACACCATGATTCTTTTGGAGACATTGTAGGAAAGAGGGTGGGCCAAGTGCCTATCCCTAGGCCTGGCCTTCTCCCTGGAATCTACTGTCATAGGGGAGGAAGGGTGCAGTTACTCCATGTGGCCAGGAAATTCATGATCCCGGAGCAGCCAGGGCACGACAGCTGTCCTTGGGCCTCTACACGGCTGAGGCCTCCCTGCTGAGTGTGCCCAAGGCAGGTCCCTTGCTATCTTCCAGAACATCTACTACCACCAAACTGGGGAATTCTACGTGGGAAAACTAATTGCAGAGGCAAACTTTAATGAGCGCTGCCTCACAGATCCTGGCCATGGGGAAAATCCTACTTTAGAGCCATGTTCTACGGCAGCCCGAAGTGGACTACACATACATTGGGATTTTAAACAGGTGAGTCACATGCCTTTTAAAGGGGAGGTACTTACTAATATAGTTTGAGAGGTTTGACTTGATTTGATAACATTTTTAGATTAATTTTTGTGGCAGCAGGTAAGGGAAAGACTGGAAGCTGGGAATCAGGTGTGAACCACAGAGTCTCTTGACTAAGGCAGGGGTGGATGAGGAGGGAGAAGTCCTGGAGCTGCCATAGCTTCATAGAGTTTGGGCTCAAATCCTGGCTTAGTCATCTTTAGCAAGTTTCTGACTATCTCTGATGCTCAGTTTCCTCGTCTATAAAACCAAGATAATAGTATTTACTTTGTGGGCCTATCTGGAGGATTAAATGAGAGAAGATTGTGAAGCATTTGGCATGGCGCCTGGTATACAGGAGTTTTTGATAAATATTAGTCATTGCAATTAGTTTTATTTTGAATGATTGTCAAAGTATAGAGGACTAGGCTGAAATCCAACAGGGACTACTGCAAAAGTCCTGGCTTTCACTTCAATATTAAATGGCCAAGAACAGGATAGCGGGAATCTAGCAGAATCCACGTGTCAATGACACGAAAGACCTGGCTGATCACAGTCTACGTGTGAACCTGCCCCGCGTTGGGGCTGCTTCAAAAATTTTAGTGTTCTTTGGCCACTTTCATTAGTCTGTGATGTCCTGTTGGAAGGAGGTTATGGTTTGTGATAGGTACTGCATAAACTTCAAGTGCTGCATTTTAAAAAATCATGGACAATCTATTTCGGCGAGTCCTATCTTTTTAAGGCCAATAACCTCTGTGACAATTTGCTGCTAGCTATGCAGTTTAAATGTAGAGGCACCTATGTGCAAAACTTTCCTTATGATTTCAGAGAGGTTTTTCATTCCAGTCTCCCTGCAATATCAATTAGAGGGAGGAGGAGAGGTAATGCCTTCCCAGTCTCTGTCACCTCCATCTAAGCTACAATGACATGGTACTGCAGGCACTGCAGCAAGAGGCATGCTCCCCCTACCTTAGGCCCATTTCAGATTTCATTCCCTCTCCTCCAACCTCTTCACCAGAACAACCTCAAGGTGCATCCCTGACTTCAGACAGGGCCTCTCTCTGGGAAGCTTCCATGACCCTGCAGGAATAGGCTGAGTTCTTCTGTGCCCCCAGGCCCCCCTTGTCTCCTTATCTCTTCCACCTGCCTGCTCTCCTGTTTCTTTTCACCACTCATCTGAGAACTGGAGGGCAGGGTCTGGATTTTGCTTGTTGTTTTCTCTCTAGCATCTGTTAGAACATCTGGAACATTTCAGGCACTCAATAAGTGGTTGTGGAACAAGTGAAAGATTGGCACTTAGGAGAGCTGAGCTTAGAGAAAAGAAGATGCTGTTTTCCTAAGGAAAAGGAGCATGCTTAGTCAATGTTCTGTCATTTGCATCAAGTACCTGAGATAACCAACGTATAAAGAGAGCTTGAGTCTGAGTCACACTTTTGAAGATTCCAGTCCATGATTGATTGGTCCAGTTGATTTGGGTCTGTAGTGATGCATCAGGGTGGGAGCATGTGGTAAAGTAGACCTCACTTATATCATAAGTCAAGAAGCAAAAGAGAAAGAGGAAGAGACTGGGGTCTTGCAGTCCCCCTTGAAGGCACATCCTCAATCACCTAAAGACCTTCTGCTAGACTCGTTCTCTTAAAGGTTCTACCTTCTCCTAATAGTCCCAAACTGGACTTCTTGATGGCAAAGGGGGGACTTCTTGATGGCCCAGCAGCTTAGGTACTCTGAACAGGACAGGCTGCCTCACACAGTGCTGAGTTCTCTGTCAATTGTAGTCACCAAGCACAGCACATCTGAGTATCTGGTGAGCCTAGTGTGCTAAATGTGAGTTTTTGATGTCTTTAATGATCTTAGTACTTTGAGCCTAGCAAGTTTTAATTATTTTAATAGGGCATTTTTAAAAACAATTTAATAAATTTATTTGACTGTTGTAGAGTATATTTTATAAATTTAAATTACATAAAATACATAATACATTAAATTGATAAAATTAATTTAAAACATTAAATTTACTTTCTTAAGGACTTTGATTATCTGACTTTATATTTAGTGAACCTGAATCTCTTAAATGTTTTCCAAAGTGCTTATAAAGTCAGTGAAATCTCAACATGCAATCAGAAATTTAATTTGTTACACATTTTAAAATTGCTATCAAAAGGTTAATTTGTAAGATGCTAATTTTCCATAAATATAACAAGTACTTAAAAATAGCAAATACACATAGAATATTTAGCAAATATTACCTGTTTATTCCCTTAGTATCTATACTTTATCCCAACTATCCTAGGAATTAAAAATACCATTTATTCCTAAGAGCTCTTTTGGAGGTTCTAGCAGGGGAGTGCAGCTACTCACATATCCTTGACCAAAGAGCAGTCCTCCTCTATTGGGGAAGGGTGTCCTCTTCAACAGAGCATGCAGCTCTCGGAGGAATGCACTAGGCATGGAAAAGAGGAGGAAGGGGACATCTGCTTATCCAGCAAGATCAGCTGAGTCAGTGTGGTGACAGATGTGTCGTAGCCAGATCAGCCTCACTATTTATCCAAAAGAGATAATTATGCATCCCAAATATTTGAAAAGCTGTCTTCCTAAGAGAAATTTGGAAGGTTGCCTTCTCAGCTGACTGAGGCCGATGATAGAATGGAAATTTGGGCTGAGTGTGAGGTCTGCTCCATAGCACATCCAGGGATGGGCTGCCTGATGCTCCGATGTCCAGGCTGGGACCCTTTTTATGACCATTATGCCAAGAAATTCAAAAGTTAAGAGGGAGGTGATCAGGTGGTTCCCGGTATGTTATCAAATTTTTGGTTCATCTTGAGTCAATTCCTATCTAGTCCTTCCTATCCATTTTATATCTGAATCAAAATCCTTTTAGATATGAAAACAATATTTGGCTGAATGTTGGGGCTCTCTTGTGCTCTATTTACTTTGTAGCACAACTTACACATTCATTCTACTAAAAAGTTACCAAAGTAAAGGATAAGCAGAATCTCTGTATTATTTCTTGTTTATGAATGGGAATCTTGAAAATAAACCCTGAGCATGAAAAAAAAAAAGTCACTAAAAATATTTTCTGGAATTGAGAAGGTGATCAGACTAGATAATCCCTCTATTTTCTCCCAATGTCATGATTCTGTGTTTTAAATCAACCAGAGGAGGTTACACTCTCTGTGAAGCACAAGGGAGCCAAATCGAGTGACTGAGAAGGGACCTAATTCAGAGATGGGGTGTGTACAGCCACATGGACTTTGATAGGAGGAGCCTAGCATTGGCGGTAGTGATGCAGTTGAAACAGTGGATATTTGGGTGAAGGTCAAGACAGAGTGACAGCCCACGACACAAAGAGGATTTCTAGAGTTGGTAGTGAGGAGGAGAACACTCATCCTAAAGGTTCCAGAAACCACTAAGAAAGAGAGCCCTGTGGGTGCTCACACCTTGCTGGTGGGCGAGTGAACCAAAAAGGTTCCAATAGCAATTTGCCTGCACACAGGTGTTATATTTGAATCTGAAAGGCACCCCCCACTCCCAGGCTTATGTTGAAGTCTTGGTTCTCAATGCAACAATGTTCAGAGGTAGGGCTTTGGGGAAGTTATTAGATCATGAGGGCTCTGGTTATATTAGTGGATTAAGCCATTGATGAAGTTATACTTTGATGCACTATTGGGAGATTATGGAAATTTAGGAGATGGAACCTCGTTGAAAGGAGTGAGTCCTTGGGGCATGACCTTGGGGACTATATCTTATCCCTGGACTTTCCTCTCTCTTGGCCTTCTGACCACTGTAAGGTGAGCAGCTTCCCTCCACCACGTGCTCCCTGCTGTGATCTTCTTCCTCATCCCAGGCCCAGAAACAACAGAGTCAAGCAATTGGAAACTGAACCATGAGCCTAAATTCTTTCTTCCTGTTGAGTTGTTTACCTCGGGTATTTTATCAATAGTGATGGAAAGTTGACTAACACAATAGGAAGAGCTCTGACACCGACAACTAACTATGACCCTTTTAAAAGGAACTGATTAGTTTTCAGGATAATATCTTAAGAAATAATATAAACTGAAGGCCATGATGAATGTAGACTATATCCTGATATTTCAAAGCAAAATGTTAGGAAAAATGAAATACCCAGTAGTGGTAGGGATTTTTGCTCATTGCTTAAGTGAATATCATATAGCTATTCAAATGATATTCTAAAAGTTATTTAAAAATGATGAAAGGAGAAAATATACATAATATTAATTTAAAAGAAGTAAAAACCATATATAAAAACCATAAGTACAGTGTTATACCATCATGAGTGGTTCTAATTTTAAAAAATATCATTTTCACATTAAAATAAGCATATATTCCTTTTGTAAAAGTGAAAATGAAACAAAAACAGAAATCCGTTAAAAATTCTGGCCGCACTGTTCCTAAATAAACACAAGAGCAAAAGTGCATAAGATCCAGATGAACACAATTAAAAGAAGCCAGGTGCTGTAGGGAGTGCTATCAGAGCCCAAGTCACATGGAAGTCGAGAGAAAATAGAAAATAGGCCACTGAGTTTGTTTAAAACATCACAGTATAATAGCCAAGACTTATTGAGTGTATGTTATAAGCCAGGCATTGGGTTAAACATTATCTAATTTAGTCCTTGTAAGACAAAGGTCTTTTATAAGAGAAGTGTTACTATTAGCTCTGTCTGAACCATGAAGAAACTATGGCCCAGAGAAGTCAAACCGTTTCCCCAAGATTACACAGCATAGTAATTGTGCAGCACTGAAGCAGAGAATCTTACCACTGTGTGTTACTTCCTGGTTGCTTAGGTATTTGATTCTCCTTTTTTTCATGTTTTTTATTGGTGCATTATGGTTGTATGAAATGGTGGGACTTGTTATGTATTCCTACATGCATACAATGTAACAATGGAATTTGGCCAATATCACTCCCTAGTAGTTCCCCTTTCCCTCCCTGTGGTCCCTTTCCTCTACTCCTGATCTCTCTTTTT